TCGGAATGGGTATCAAATACTTGGTAATGGTAATGGTAATGGGTTTTGGTGAAAGTACTTAACATGTTTGGTAGTATGGTGGAATGGAAATGGTTACTAATAGTAGTGCTTGAGAATGAATAAGGGAATGAAACCCTTATTTTATTTGGGTATGGGTTTTTCAATTGATGGGGTATTCGAAACCCATAGTAGTGTTCTATAAACCTATCAACCAAACAACAACAATCACTTTCATACCCATTCCTATGGGCAAAATCCACTGATGAAGGACTAAAATTAGTATAGAAGGACAATTTTGTAATTTCCTTTTCTTCTATTCTCTGGCAGTTATAACTGCTCTTTGCCTCTCTTGTCTATATGTACTGTTCTCTCTGCCTCTCTTCAATACAACAGTAACAACACTTCTTCTTCTCTTCGTTTTCCTTTCCATTAGAACCTCATGAACATACTTATCATCCAACCCTAGCTCAGCTCACTGATTCCTACATGGTATCAGAGCTTCCATTCAGCTACGCAGCCGCCGTAACTATGGATCGCAATGTCGCCGGAGGAAATCCTGCTGGCAGCACAGCAGGAGCAACAACTCCGATTAGTCAGATCCAAGCTAATCAGAGTCCAGTTTACAGAATAGATGAACTGGACGATCATTTGTATCTTCACGCAAAAGAGAATCCAAACACCATACTCGTCTCTCCTCCCCTCACTGAGAGCAATTATGCAACCTGGAGTAGGTCCATGAAGATAGCACTCGGCGTGAAGAACAAATTTGCCTTCGCCACTGGTACAATTCCTTGTCCAGCCCAATTAGATGCTAGATACGGGACTTGGAAGAGGTGCAATGATATTGTTTGCGCATGGATCTTACGTTCACTCAGTCCATCCATCGCTGAGAGCGTGCTATATTTTGAGATAGCAGAAGACATCTGGAGTGCTTTGAGGAAGAGGTATTCTCAGGCAGATCCACACAAGATCGCTGAGATTCAGAATGAGATCTACAGAAGTGTGCAAGGTAATCTATCAATTAATGAGTATTTCACCAAACGTAATGCTCTTTGGGAACAATTGAAAGCTGTTAGACCATTACCTGTCTGTGAGTGTACACCTAGATGCAATTGCACACTTTTGAGCAAAGTTAAAAAGGATAGGGATGATGATCAAGTGATTAGGTTTTTAGATGGCTTAAATGATGAATATGAAAGCATAAAATATGGTGCACTTGTTATGGATCCCTTGCCTAGTATGGAAAAAGCTCTTAATATGGCTTTGAAGCTGGAAAGAAAGCTCAATAGTTCCAGTAGCTACAAGGCCTCTGAAATTGTTCAATCTAATGCTGTTCAAAACCAAATTGGGGAGGATCAGAATGTTGTGGCAATGACCAGCTCAAATAATAATTAAGAAGAAATTTAATGGTTATGGAGGGAAAAATGTGCCTAAGTGTACATATTGTGGAATGAATGGCCATACCATAGATAAGTGCTTTAAGAAACATGGGTACCCCCCCTGGTTGGATACCTGGTTATAAATCTAAGTACAAGCAGAACCAAAACAATCAGGACAGTCAGCATGGTTTCAACCCCTCTGTGAATCAAGTTGCAGATGTAGGATTGTTTGCTGACCAGTTTCAGAAGCTGGTTTCTCTCTTGCAAAACCAGAACCAAGGAAGCCAAGTTAACCAAGCATCCACCAATGCTGCCATCACCATGAGTAAGACTGGAATGAGGCAAGAGTTCACCAATTCATCTGCTGATACAGAAGAAGGCAGGTTTACTCTAAAATTAGTATAGAAGGACAATTTTGTAATTTCCTTTTCTTCTATTCTCTGGCAGTTATAACTGCTCTTTGCCTCTCTTGTCTATATGTACTGTTCTCTCTGCCTCTCTCAATACAACAGTAACAACACTTCTTCTTCTCTTCGTTTTCAATTCCTTTCCATTAGAACCTTCATGAACATACTTATCATCCAACCCTAGCTCAGCTCACTGATTCCTACACCCACCAACTAAACACACCCAATATTTTATTGTATATTTTGCTAAAAATTTAAACTTTTAGTTTAAGTTAATCAACCACATCTTTTCAAAAAAAAAAAAAAAAAGTTAATCAACCACGTGTTTTTATACTTTAAATAAAAGATCAGAAATATGACGTCAAGAGAAAATGAGAACTTTTTGATGTTATTAAATGCAAAGACTTGAACATTTAGCATAATTATATTGTAGCACAATAAGTGCTGAAGTTTGATGCTGCATTTAATTTAATTTTCTAGCTTGTTTTATACAAAACTCCAACTACTATACAATATTATCTTAAGAACCATGCATTCTAGACACCTCTATATAATCCACTCCTTTACCATTAGTCACTCTCCGTTTTTATTAGATACGTAGAATTTATTATTAACTCAATTTTATTGTCAGTTAATTCACATGTAATCTATGACAATACAAAAATTTTCTTCTTCTCTTTTTTTTTTTTTAAAAAAAAAAAAAAATTAAAGAGTGACTACTGCTAGTAATAGGGAGTGGTAATTTTAGATTTGTAGCAATGAAAAGTATTACCCTCATCCCATACCAATTAATAAACATACAAATTATAAGTACAAGACAAAATAATGTTGATCACTCGAGTTGGTCGGATGATTAGCTTGATAATCGCAAGGTTCTAAGAGCATCTTTATCCGTGGGGAGAATGTAAGAGTGATTAGGAAAGAGAATGTGGGAGGGGAGAAAAAAAAAATAAAAATAAAAAAAATAATAAAAAAAAATTGAAGTTTATATATATATATATATATATATATATATATATATATATATATATATATATATATATATATATATATATAAGGTATGGTTAGGCGCGCCTAACGCGCCCGTGTGGGCGGCTGCTCTGCGCGAAACGCGCACAACAGCCAATGCTCTCTGATATTTTTCTTCCCTGGGAAGAGAAATATCTCAACAACTTGGAGACGAATTCTCTTTCAATTATCTCCTTCCCACATTATCTTTGCTCCTTATTGTTTGGGAAGAATTCATTCTGAACAATTTGGAATAATCTATTATAGTGGATGCTCTAATCTCCATTTGAATCGATTAAGTATGAACAATCTACGTTGATTTTGTGGTCCAGCACGCATCTTCGGGTTTACAGCAATTAAATAACAATATAGAAATATGCAACCATCCAGGTGTACCACCCGACATCAAATCAAAATATTCCAAAGCATACTACTATATATCGGCATCGAATAGAAATATGCCAAATTACGCCCAAAATTATTATTATCCAAAATCTTCAAAGATGGCACTTGACAAGTATCATATTTTATTTATTTTATCCAATGGACAAACGTCGCCATAATCTGTAGAAAATAAAAACCCTTACGAAATATATATACATATTATGTGCGACTAAAACTCAATCTCAGGAGTTGCCAATGATAATGACTACCACCTCACAGCACACAGCTTCAGAGAAAGTGACACAAAAACAAGTCAAAAAAGATGCATACAAACCTTTTTTTGGTCTGCAGAGAACCTTAACTTCACACCTAAGACTTTGACAGCTGTTGGAACAATGTTGCTGGACGCGTGTCCTCGTTGTTCGATTGTATTCTTGAAAAATGATAAGTATATTCACACCTTCGAAAGGTCAAGTTCATTGCCCTCTTAGACCCCGCTTTCTAACTTGAAGAATTGTAAATAAGTTGTTTGCTCGTGTTTAGCTCAATGGTTCAATAAACAATATTTGGAAGAAGAGATTAAGATTCGAATTTTGATAGTGAGAATATATAATTGTTATGCTGTGAGCATGTATTCATTTTGCATGGTGCACACGAATTTATATCCATAATTTCTATATTATAGATCCATAATTTCTATAATGTAGATTCATAATTTTTATACTGTAGATCCATAATTTCTATACTGTAGATTTATAATTTTTATACTGTAGATCCATAATTTCTATATTGTAGATTCATAATTTTTATACTGTAAATCCATAATTTCTACATTCTCGGTGAGCTAAAAGTTATACTTATTCATAATTTCTAAAACTGTAGGATCCATAATTTAAATACAGTAGATCCATAATTTCTATACTGCACTGATTTGTGAAAACATGGTTCAACAATTAGAATCTAAAGTATATATAAATTTAGCTCACCGAGATTCTAGAAATTATGGATCTACAGTATAGAAATTATGGATATAAATTCGTGCGCACCCTGTGCATGGTGAGCACGTGCTCACTGCATAATTTGCCGAGAGTATAGAGATTATGTTTAAAGTGAGCAAATCTGTGTGCACCAGCATTTGGCCCGGTCTGTTGAGCAATTCAGCCAATAAAATTTTATCATTTCATTATAAAATTTAAATTTACTAATATGAGTTAATTCAATTTTTGGTCCTGGATTTATAGGTGATAATTCACTTTTAGTCCTTTTTTATTAGAACAGCATCATTTAGTCTTATAGTATTATTGTGGCATGACCATTTTTAGTTCTCCTTCAACAAAATTGTTGAAATATCGATAAATACAAAGATATTTCAATCTTTTTTATACAAAGTAGGTTGAACATCTATATTTTTTATGTTTATTTATTTTAAATAATCTATAATTGAAGGACGAAATACCCTTGTATTTAACGATATTTAAACTGTTTTGTTGATAAATGACCAAAAATGATCATGTAACAATAATACTAGGACTAAAAGTAGATGTTCTAATAAAAAATGACTTAAATTTGATTGCCACCTGTAAATCTAGGACAAAAATGAAATTAACTCTTACTAATATTTATAACATCAATAACGCTCAAAATAAAAACAATGACAATAGCACCAACAAAGGGCATTTGGTCTAGTGGTATGATTCTCGCTTAGGGTGCGAGAGGTCCCGAGTTCAATTCTCGGAATGCCCCAAATATTTTATTTCATTTAAACTAGAATTTTATTTTCTATATAAAAAACGAAAGACTATAACAATCGTGGGCATTTGGTCTAGTGGTATGATTCTCGCTTTGGGTGCGAGAGGTCCCGAGTTCGATTCTCGGAATGCCCCTTTCCATGAATTTTGAACCTCTAGACAACCGGGACTATGGAGCATTGGGTTTCCCGTTTGGGGGAAGATTTATGGTAATTTATCAACCTATTTTAGAAGTAAGTAAATTCACGTTTATATACATTTCGAATTATACGAGTTGGTACTATTCGAATAGATCTGTTAACTTTTTTTTTCTTTGTATTCTTTTTTTTTTTTAGAAAGGAATTTTTTTTTAGTTTTACAATAAAATAAGTTATAAATTACATAAAATTTATAATGATATTAGGTTAATATAAATATAAATTCTAGCTTCATATTAGTATGAGTAATATAATTATTGTTGTTGTTGTTATTTAACAGCTTAAATGTCCTTTCAAAAAAAAAAAAAAACAGCTTATATGTATTAATTAAAAGTTTTTATTAATTATTAAAAGTTTAAAAGGTTATTTGATAAATACAAAGTAAAAATTTTAGTTTTTAATAATATGAATAATTTCTAGTCTACTACGGCAAATTACCATTACACCATGGACTATGGTCTATTTTACATTGTGGATCCTAATCCAAAACGATATTCAAGTTATATACATACTTACAGTTTACATATTATATACATTTAGTTAATAGATTATTTATCTGTAAATAAACTAAATGTACATAATATGTTATATGCATGTACATAATCTAAATGACATTTTGTACCAGAAACCCTAGTCCATGGTATAACAATTGGTCTACTACTGATATAACTATTAGTATTACTCAATATTTAGATATAGACAATAATTTTAACATAGTTAAATAATTCTATAAATGTCCTAATGGGCACCATAAAACTAAACTGAGCTTGAACACGTTATTATCATTTTCGATGTAAAAAATTGACATATCTAAATTTGTAATGCCTCAAATTAAAAAACATTAATTAATGATATAACAAACTAATTACTCATGCTTATCACTAGTCAGCGTATCTTATAAATTTTTAATGACAAGACTTTCCTTTGCTTTTCCTTTTCCTTTTTCCTTTTACTTTTATATATTTTTAAAATCACTACAAATACCGAGTCCAATTTACTATTTCTTGTGTTATCTGTGCACCCGACAACTATATTCGTGATAAATATAAACTTATAAATAATCATTAAAGAAATATTTATATTGTTTAGAGTTCAATAATTATGGTAGATCTTTTGAATTGAAATTTTTATAGTTTAATATCAAAATTTAAAACCTTAGTATAAAGTTTAGTCCATTTTAAAAATTCATTCAAATAATTTACAGTTCAATTTGAATTGACATACAATTTCGTACAGAATTGATCAAATTCATTAAAATATCTCATTTACTTCTATATTGTCAAGATCTAACACTTATTGCCCACACGGGTTTAGCTCATTGATTCAGTAGACAGAATTTGAGAGAAGAGATCAAACAAAGATTTGAACTTCGGCAACAGCAGTATGAGATTTGTCCAAAGTACGAAATTTTCAATCATTTAATTGAAATTTTTGGATTTTCAATTCTGAACTAATAAATCAATCATTTTCACTTATATTTTAATTGAAATTTTTGGATTTTGTTTTCGAAAAATTGTATCAATCTTTAAATCTGAATACGAAATCTTTTAAAATTTAATATTAAATTATCAAAGTTTAAAGATATATCTATAATTGTCAGAACACTCGAAGGTTTCAACTTTTACACAAACAAGAAAATGCCAATAAAATGTATATTTTTACAGCATAATAATTCAAACGTTTAATAATGATAAAACATGGATTTTAATATATAATTAAAAAATAAAAAAAATTACATTTGCATTTCACCGTCATGTATATCATGTTTTGCCAGCTTTTTTTAATAGTTATCCCATGAAAGAATGGAGAAAAGGCAGCTTTCCGTGATTGAAAATTACTTAGAAAGAGGAGAGTGGACTTGGGATAATTTATTATATTTCACCATCATATGATGGGTAAAGGTAATTAATCGCTACCTCAATACACACTCTAAAATAATAATTGTGTCTACGTCATCTTAAAAAAATGTACTCTGTAATTAATTACTTATACCTTGCAGTTACTATTTGCACTGACAAATTCTGCTCCTATATAATTGTAGAGGTAAATTGCTCTAATGAAGACCCTGTGTAATAAAATTGAATTGGTAAAAATCAAATTCGTAACTTTTTAGTATAAAATTATGTGCAACTCACTCATACATTCCTTTCAGGGTGGAGTTTTTAAATCTTTAACATGCTCAATCATGTCACATACAAACAAGATAACAAAGTAAGTGTATGTATATAGTTTATACATTCCTAGTTACATTGAGAAAGGTATCTACAGGTCAGCCTTACGCTGTAGTTTGGAATAACTTTTTTTACATGGAATCAAAGCACTCTCAATTATGGTAATATATAACTTCCTTACATTAAAATTGTCGGAAGAATTTGAACTTTTCTTATTACTAAACTGTCCTTAGATCAGAAATTTTTGTATATCATTTTTTACTCAATGTCTAAGGTAAACAATGATGGATGAAAATGATAAATTTATGAGTAACCAACGAACAAGACTTGGACCTCGCTCTCAAATTAGTTAATAATAACATGATAAATAAAAAAAATTCATACAATTTTGGATAAAATCTTTTGTGAATCAAATTGATAAAGGTTCCCATAAATTAAGTACATAAAAGATAATTAAGAAGGCGCAAATTATGCTGTGCAACCGTGTGTACCATGTATGGTGCACACAGTTGCAAAAACGACGTCATTTTGATTAAAAACGCGCGTCTCACTTTAAAAAAAAAAAAAAATTAGGTTCAATTTCCGGTAATAGTATTTTTTTTTTTTTTGTGCATAATTTGAATTATATATCCACAAATTCATAACTATATATTCACAAATTCATAACTATATATCCACAGTGAATGAATAACACAAAATCCAGAATGAATGAACTAAATACCCACAATGAATGAACTAAATATCCACAATGAATGAACTGAATATCCATAAATTCATAACTATATATCCACAAATTCATAACTATATATCCACAATAATGCTGTTAAGGAGAATCGAAACTGAAATTTTTTTTTTAAATAGGATGCGCGTTTTTAGTCAAAACGACATCGTTTTGCAACCGTGTGCACCATACATGGTGCACACGGTTGCACAGCATAACTATTGTTAAGAAGGTGTCCCTTAATTGGGCCAGCCCAATGCGATAGGGATTAATCTGATTATGGTACGGGGTTAAAGGTGTCTCCTACAGTTAGGGCCTGCTCAGGACACCTCCAATAGTTATTGGTCCACACAGATGTGTGGATCACGGTCTAAAAACGATGTTTAATTTTATTTTTTTGCGCGCCCAGTTACGCTATACATTTTTATAATTCATAATTTACATTATTCTAAAATATAATGTACATTATTCTAAAGCATAACATACATTATTTTAAAACATAATGTACATTATATTACTCCAAATGTTTCATTATTCTAACACGTAATGTATATTATCTAACACATAATGTACATTATTCTAATTGGTAATGTATATTATTTTACACATAATACACATTATTTTTACTCATAACATTTACGACGATATTTTTAGACTGTGATTCACACAGTTATGTGTACTATCGTCCACACAATAAATAGCCGGACACCTTATGGCATGAGAAAAAAAAAAAAAGATAATTAAGAAGGTGGAAGAATTCTTTTGCAGACAAATGGAGCCCACTGCCCACGTGCTGATTTGAAACCCCTCATAGTTTATGTTATTTTAATTATTTTTTTGAGAAAATGTTATTTGAATTATAATCCTTCGAGAAGCATTGATATGTATGACACTAAGGCATTTCCATGTTTAGGTAGTATGCGTATCTTAAACTTTCCAAATAAGAACACACAAACTTCATTACGTGTTCGGCAAAGGGAAAAGTTTAAGGTTTTCGGGTTAGATTTGTTCTAGAGACTAGCTACCTTTCCCTTACTATACCAAAACCAAGTGTAATTCCTTTTAAAAGAGGCGGATTCGATTAGCTAGTAAGAAATTAAAGTGAATTTAGTGTTTATTTCTTGAAGAGCAGGTCTTGCCAGAACCATTCATTGATCTTTTAACTTCATATTAAGATTAGGACAATTGTCCCAAAAGAGGTGGGTGAATGGATTGAACATGAGTCTTGTATATAATGGTTACGAGTTTGATTTTTACAAATATCTTCTCGATTGAGTTTGTTGCACATGATCTTTCTAGTGTGATTTGTCTCTTCTGTGTAATTTGCGGACTAATATACAAAAAAGAGTTTACTTAGTGCACACTCTCGAATAATAGTTGTATATTTCTCTCATAAAAAAAATGTTTTTTTTCTTTTTTTTTTTTTTTTTTTCGCTCATGGCCTAGTCTATCTTCTTCCTATTTTATATTCTAGTCTTCCTTTAGCTTTCTTTTTATTTCATTTTAAAAAGAAAATGACACTTTAGTCTTTTTTTTTTGGGAGGTAGGGAAGGGGTTACTTAACAAGACTAGCGTCGCGCTCTATCGACACCCTTTTGGAGTGCCACCATCGCTCTATCAACCTCAAGTTATCTCATAATTTTCATCGGAGCTGAGGGTCTTGAAACTCAATCCAACCACAATTCCTTCGATGAGCCACCTTAGCAAGCCTATCAGCCACTACATTAAGGTTACGGGAAATAATGTGGTTGACGGTTAAGTTATAAGGAAATAGCTAACATAGTCATTAAGTTATTGGTGTCAAAACTTTTAATTCTTAAGTTTTTCTCAAAGTGATACTTTTGAAATATAATGATATGAAATTACAATTTTAGTTAATTGTCTAGTTAAGAAGACTATTTGATAAAAACTTAATTAATGGATAAGTAAAAGTGACAACACACTAAAACCTAAAGTCCGGCGAACTAGAACAATCGGTGAACACTCCGTACAATTTACGAAAATGTTGACAAAATTTTCTTTGTAATGAAAGAGTTGAGAGAAGA